ACGCTCCAACACATTGTACGTGATAGGCCATCGAAGCTGTTGACCAATCACAACAGACTGGGCTCTGGTTTCAGACAGAGGGTGAAAAGAGGTGCTGCAGCACAGGCAGTATGAGAAAAATAAAGACCTTTTTGACCATTAAAGCATGGAAAAATGTCACAGAATTGCGACAAAATAACAATATAAACGTGGCGATTTGCATAATAGGTCCCCTTTAAAAACAAGCTTTTATTTTATGTTCCTTTTTTCTGAGTTGTTACCAAGTTGTTTTGCCTGCGTTAATAAACGACACACAGGTTGTATAGTAAGAGTAACATTTTTTGTCTATTTCCTCACTACAATATATTGTTAAAGTAAATTACAAAAGCTGTAAGGAGATATTAACATAAGCCCCCCCTTTGTTTATTTAGCCAATAAAAGCCTACAGGCGGGGGAACAAATCAATTCTGGGCTTTTCTAATTTCATGTATTCTGCAAGGCCTTTATCTCCAGAGCAAATACAACAGAGCACACAGGACGAGGCAGATGTTTCTATTAGGAAAGTCACTCGAGTGAACACAATTTTATTCATAATTACCTGTAAAAAGAAACACCTTCCACCCGAAGACTGTTTGTTTATGCACACAAATTCCCAGGTAAAAAACGTTTACGGTGACACTAAGTGGCAGCTGATTATACTCATTTTCATCCTCAATGTTATTACAAATAACCCTTTAAGCCTAAACTGACAGAAGAAGGAACTTGGGTTTATTTTACCAGCTTTTAATTAGTTATCTTAAATATAAAGGGTATTGTTGGGTATTGGGGGTCATACCTGTATCAGCCAGTGTTACCTTTGATAGCCTGAAAAGCATTGGAGAAAAACAAAAATCAGTTCAAAGAGTTCTTTGTTTTCAAAAATGACAACCATTATAGATGTAGATAATAGCCTCTCAGCGCCAAATCTGAATTTAAAATCTGCTGCTCTCTAGCATCTTTTCCCTCTTAGTTTACTCATCTCGCAGCTGGCCAGAGAAGAATGTATTAACCTGCGAATGAATCATCATTTATTCTCAGCCCCGGTGGAATTAACATAAATCCCATAGAAATGTTGGAATAATTTGAATCCAAATAGATACGGGATGGGTAATGAGAAGTTAATTTGGTCATCAGTTCACATCTTTCACTATCAGCTACATCGACAGGTACGGATGCTCCCATTCATCCCAAACAATCCTATTTAGAGGTCAGCCCCCTTTTATATGCAGTTTATTTAACCAAGAGTAAAGAGTGTTACTCATTACTCCTGAGACAGAAAGGCTAAACAGCCGCCCTATTAATTTATTCATGTGAGCCATCTTTTCCTTTGCTGCCATAAATGCAAATCCAGTCTTGATTAAGCTTCTAATTTTCATTTATTCCCCATCAGACTTTGAAAATCTATTTAGGAATAAGTTGATTTCATTAACAATAATTTATGATATTATTTATAATTTGAAGGAGTTCATTTTCATAAGAATTGCAATTCATACTATAAGGAACATGTATTCAAGGATACAATAAAAACGACCAATTTAGCTTAAATACATAGACTTCTATAAAGTTCAATGTTTAACTTAAGTGCTTTTCTGTATACAAAACAGATGTACTGTATAATCAACGCTTCTCAAAAGGTTACCTACAGGCATTTTGCACAGCACCCCTAACACATAACACCCTCTAAGTGCTTATCAGGCCTGTTATTAATCTGTAAATGGCAGCAGGGGTCTCAGTCTCATAGGAATTGTGGAAGAAACTACTGGAGGCCTAAACACAGGGAGGCGATTCAAGAAGCCTGGAATTAAAGTTAGTCTCCATCTGCAATCTTTTCAAATGTTTTGTCTCATTAGTCAATTATTATCAGATAAATAAACAGATTTTTTAGTGTATTAAATCAAATATTCAAGCCTCTTTTGGGCTCTCCCCACCTGTACGGGCTGCAGAAAGTTTAATCCAATTGCAATAAGGTCAAACCACAGTAATTGCATGCTTTTGCGGGGGAATTCAGAGACTTTCCGGCAATAATGTCATACAAAGAAGAGCAAGACATTAATAATAATAATTGAGGGAAAACGGCTGGTAACAAAATACTTTTCAAAGACAGAGGAGTAAAATACAGCAACCCTTTTCCATGCTTAGGTCATATTAAAGACTTAAAAAAAAACAGGAAAAAATATAATTATATATTTACGCTCAATAGAAGACCTAAGTATCTCAGATCATTGAGTACTTTGCATCTTAAAAGCTGAACCTATTGAAAGCATACACACAAGAAATGATTTGTACATGTATAAGAAATTATGTATTTAAAAAGGAAGGAGGTCCACTGAGGTGGAATATGCGGATGTGCTATGCCCCTGCTGTATGGAGTTATTGCAAGTGAAGAAGAACAATTGTGTTCATGAAATTGTAGACATTTTTTTATTTCCAAGGTACTGTGAATCCCTGATACATTAAATAGGACTTGTCTTTTAAACTGCAGCTATGATAGAAACATCATTTCAGTACCAGTTGTTCTGAACTCTTGTCAGACCAGAATCAAAGCGGTGTACAACAGCGAAGACACACAAAAAAAGAAATGGTACTTTCAAAAGTGTCCAACACAGTGATTTACAGAAGATTCTTAAAAGAAAATCTGTCAACTGGGCTGTAATAACTTTCACAGGAAACGTACATCTCTGCACTGTCAGACAGCAGAGCTCAACAACACTCGGCCACACTTCAGTCTCATCCCACTTCCCATTAGTCATGCTGTATGTGACTCTGTATTAGGTTGTCCCATCATAAGCTATCAATGAGAGAATGATTACATATTTCTACATGACTGGCAGTGCAGATTATTAGCATAAGCAGCACTGGTAAATGACTTTCCGTAACAAAGCAAATACCAAACTGACTGTGTAGAACAAACACTGTGGGGAAAACAATAACTTCAGAGAAAAACACAGCATTGGGCTCTGGAGGAATATCACACTGATGTTTCTTGCATAGCTTTCCATATTACTGATTCACTTCTGTTACAAGTTTGCATGGATAAAGATCAGTAGCAGCAGTATTGTGTCTGTGCCTGCAGCTGTGAGCCTCACTGATGCCTCAACAGTGCCACCTTATGATCAAAGTCTATTCTTCATGTTCACTCATCAAAAAAAACACAGGCTGTGAATCTACAGAAAACGTCATTTTAAGACACACAGAAGACTACAAGACAACTAGGATTATTTTTCTGGCTTTTTGTAAATTCTAGCGAGGAAATATCTCTCAGCTGAATCCTTTCTGCTGGCGTTCGGCTTTAAAGTCTGGACATTGTTAAATACTCTTGAGAGTTTCTCCTGGAGTTCATGAGTGAGGATGCCGTCCCAGTATTTACAAAGCAGAGAGCCCCCCGGCAGTAAAATCTTCTCTGCCAGGTCTAGTAAAGAAAAACACATTGTGATGAGTTTCACATGGTCCATCTCCCGGAAACCGCTGGCGTTGGGCGCCATGTCGCTCAGGATGACATGAGCCTGACCGCCTGGGAGCAGCTCCAGCAGCTTAGCGTGGGTGGGGGGGACGGTGACATCATGACAGGACAGGAAGTGGGCGCCATCCAAAGGTGGTATGTGCAGCAGATCAATGCCAACTACTGTACCAGGTGGTGCCGCTGGATCTAGTATGCAAGAAAACATTACATCTGTAATTAACACAAAGATATTTATGTGGAACGTGAATGTTTTAATGGGTTACTTCCATCATATTTGATGGTAAGCTGCAATGTTAAGTCGATTAATTGTAATTTATAATAGTATTATTTCAAGCAAAAATGTAAAAATAAAATGTAGATTTTCTATTTTTCTCTTTTATATCGTATGCAATTGAATATCTTTGGGGTTTTATCTTGGACAATAAACTTGAATATGTGAAAAAATATGCCAACATTTCTCCAGTTATATTAATTCCTGTATCCAGATTATTGCAGTCGTATGGAAAAACCAAAAGACATTTGACATTTATAAATTTTACAGTAATGGATTCAAAAATAAAATCTCATTCACCAATTAAAAATCATGTTCAACAACTTCTCTAACACACCTTTGTCAAGGATAATTAAAAGCAGGGTGTCCCAAGATCTACAGCACTTTAAATGAACTGGGAACACACTACAGCATAATGAAGAGTTGAATCATTCTCTTTGACATAGCCTTAATAAAACCTGAAGAGTGTGCTTTACATACTGCTTTAGTTTTGCATCACAGTGTATCCCTTTTATTTTGTCCACCTGTTTCTCCCCTCTCACCTGTCCCGGCTGAGTTGACCCTATGCACGGCCACCTGGCTCCAGGCTCCAGGGGCAGCTCCGCAGTCCACCACACTACATCCAGGCTGTAACAGTCTGAACTTGTCATCTATCTCCAGCAGCTTGAAGGCACTTCTGCACCGGAAATTTTGTTTGTGAGAAGCTTTGACATACGGGTCTTTGAGCTGCCGCTGCAACCAGCGCTGCTCGGCAGCAGTTTTACTCTTCTTTAACTTCTTCATTAAACATAAAGAGGAGTGGAGGAATCTCCTCTGGAAGGAGAAAGCCCACATTTTTTGACTGTGGAGGGTCAAAGCGTACGGTAAACTGCGCATGCGTGGAAATACAGCACGCCATTGGTCAAATACAAACACTGTGCGTCATACTTATATGTCCCCCATTGCAAAACACTCACAATAATAGTTCCTACTTGGGTGGTTTGGTTTATTTCAGCTAAATGTCACAATATGTAAAACTTTTAAAAATGTATCTCCTCTTAAACAATACTGTAATAAATTAACTTCCTATTAAGGGACTGTTGTGAAAAATACCAAAGGAAATCAGATTTGTATTTGATTTTCAACATAAGTAACATAACATTATATTGACACCTTGTGTAATTCATATTCTATATTTGAAAAGTGAGTTTAAATTAGCAGCACAACACACGTTGGCATACGTTTCTAGTGGATCATATTTTAATGTAACACATGGCTGATGTTGATTAGACCAGAGCCAGAGCCCATTACTCTGGATTAGACCAATCCGTGCTTTTACACATCTGCGTCATCTGACCACATTTGTAGTGCTGCACGCGGGAGTCATAAATCCTGATTTGATACAGGATCTTATTTTTTCTCCTGACTTTTGGGGTTTACAGAGCAGACATTGATCAGGTGAGGACGTTAGGCTGAGCTCACACAGCACAGCGTTAAGAGCGAGTTTTGCCTCAGGCAGGTTCACGTTGTGTTTCACTTCCCCCTCAGGCAGGGGAGATGTTGAGCTCCAAGCTGCTGACCCTGGTTCTGGTGGTGCAGCCGGGCAGGGTGCTGCTCGGCATGAAGAAGAGGGGGTTCGGGGCCGGGAAGTGGAACGGTTTTGGGGGAAAGGTTCAACCTGGAGAAACTATTGAAGAGGCTGCAAGGAGGTACATTTATCGCCCCAATTGTTGTTGTGTTGACAACCTTCTACACAAAGCAGTTCACCAATGTCAACACCACAAAAGTAGTTTTGAAAAAGCTTGAATGAAAAAAGCTAATGATAGAAAATGCTATATTCTCTTGAAGTACAATCTGTGAAAAAAACAAAGCTGTTTCAGTATATTTCAGTTAAAGGTAGGGTAGGTAAGAATGGAGAAACCAGCTCGAGTGCGCTAGAATTTGAAACTACGTACGCAGCCGAAAAAAATCTGCCCCTTCCTTCAGACTTCCTTACAGAGCCCCTTCTCCAACGAACGCGCACTGACCAATGAGTGCACGAGATAAGTTTGTGCACAGATGGAAGGCTGACAGGCAGGTAGGCCATCCAGTTATTTTAGCCAGGCCGGCTAAAAATAATTGGTCGTGCTTTTTATAGTGCTACGGCTTCCACAGATGATTTTTTAAAATGTATTTATTGTCAAAGCATTTAATGTATTCATTGCTATCGGGATGTTAAGAGCATTCCACGGAATATAACAAAAAGTGTTTCTGAAGTGAATTACCTACCCCACCTTTAAGTTTAAGTTTTCTTATAGGGTTTGTTAAAGGAAATGAAAAGTTTAATTATATTGATTAATTTCACAATACATTTCTCAGCTCTTGAATGCATATTCTCACATCACTGATCAATCATAACACATTTAACTTGAATTATTGTAAAGATAGGTTTTACTTCTGTAAAAGTAGTGCTACAAGTGTAGAAATACTGTCTTTCAAGTAAACACTCAACAGCATTAGAATAAAAAAGTAAGAAGGTAAAAGTACTCAATTTAATTTTATATTTTCAATATATATATGTATATTATACATATATAGATCAATATAAGTGTATCGTAACCTCTAATAATACTCAATACATTATTTGTTAATCTATTATTATTATTATTATTATAATTAATTATTATAATATCTGAATCTTCAAAGTATCATAAGTATTTAATACATTTAGTGTAGTATGTACAGTATGTAAGTTATAGTCTACCACTGAACATAACATAAGATATGACGCAGTGTTTTTCCATTTAGATCAAACAACACAAGTGTTTTATTGTAACAGCATTAGTCAACAGTAGTGTGGTGTCCACGTGTTGAGGGGAGCATTGAAGAAAAAAAGGAATGTTTGGTCTGGACTGTGTGTGTGTGTGTGTGTGTGTGTGTGTGTGTGTGTGTGTGTGTGTGTGTGTGGTCATCAGTCATCAGCAGGAAGTTTGTTCCAAAGGAAGGAAGGCAATCAGGCCCATATTTTCTCTTAAAAAGAAAAAGAGACCTGCTTTGTGTAAAAATTATAGAAAGGCTACATAAATAAGACATATCTTAAGGCTATGTTGGTAATGCCTTTCAACAGAAGCAAGTGACTAATCATAGTTCTTATTTACTATGAAACTCTTACATTTGAAGAGTTAACAATAAGCAGGCTTGACGTTAGTGTTTGGAAATATAATTAAAATGTAAAATAATTGTCCAAGAAACGTACATATTAAACAAAATATCATGGCATAAATATGTAAAGTTACTCAAAAAAATATTGAGTGGCTGAGATTGGAATTCAGGGCAAAATTATCTTTCAAACTCAAAGATCAGCTCACTGTCAGCCAATTTAGTTGACTCTAAAAACGAAATGCTGTCTATTTGTGTGAGCCACATACAAATAGACCCTTTCTGTTTGTGTGAAGTGTACTGTGAGCTTATTTTTAAAACACACTTCATAAAATATTCATTGGATGTTTTCTTTTTAGAGAGCTGCAAGAAGAAAGCGGTCTCACGGTGGATGCTCTCGAGAAGGTCGGAAACCTCAAGTTTGAATTTGTTGGAGAAACGGAGCTGATGCATGTCCATGTTTTCAGAGCTGACAGTTATAATGGAGAGCCAACAGAGTCAGAAGGTATGACTTCCACTACAACAATGCGGAATAACTGGAATGACACATTTTCCATCTAAAAAATGTATGCAAATTATGATAGGATAACTGGAGTTAGAAATCAGCGCTATGCTGTAAGGGAACAGAAGTGCCACTTTTTACCTTCATAACCGATCATGCACTTAAGAGTTGAAGGGGAACTCCACATTGTTGTTGCACATTATTCCAAGTAACTCATGTTTAAAAAACTGCATTCCTGCAACAAAAAAGTCACTTTTGGTTCCTTTTAATGTTGACTTCCTTTTTTGTTATCTCACCGCCAGTCTTCGTAGGTCAAGTTTAGATCTAAAAGCCAACTGAGAAACAGTTTTCAGTTCAACTTTTTAAACCACATAGACCAAAATGATCCTTCTAAGTAAATGTATTCAAACCGTCTTCTGGGAACTTCTTCACAGACATGACTTTGAGCAGGGACAGCACATTAGTTAAGGGCAGGAATATCAGTGGTGAAGTTAGAAACAACTGAATGAAGGAAACAAGGGGCCCTGTACAGAAGGAATGCAGAGACCTGCAGTGATCTTTATTTCCTGAGAGTTTAGTCAAGGTCGATTGGGTGAAGAGTACAGACACAGTGATGAGTCAAATAAATAGAGTCTGGAGGTCAAGAAGAGTCATCCAGCCAAGGGGCGCAGAGATAAAGGGAGGAAACAACTTCAATTAAATGTGCTGAAGTTAGTGAAAAGACTGGAGCTGGTGACTGAATCGATATATTCAGGTAGGAAGCAACAGGTGACGTAGAAGGAAACCTCTTCAAAAGTGGTAATGTTAAAGAAAGGATTTCATCCAGAGGGCGGATAGAAAAAGTTACCTACATATTATAGTTCAAGGAGAAACAAAGACACATGTTTTTTTAAGTTGGGAAAAGTTCTGTCTTGTTTTAATAGTAAGACGAAAAATATGGATTTTAGAAATGTCCACACTTTTAAATCTGGTGGTTTGTTTATCCCCTTCTTAACAAACATAACTATGTATCCATATATACTGTATAATTGTTGGCAATGACACTGAAAGGGTATGTTCACATTGTTTTACGTATTTTTGTACAATTTAAAAGTTATTTGTCTATAGGACCAAATCCACAGTGCTCATTAACTGCAACATTTCTAGCGTGTTACTATCCTTTTACTGCAACTCAGCAGGGAAAAGCAACAAGCCGCTTTTTCACTAAAATGTACTTAATAAGATTCCAACTTTGATTTGTTTATCCAAACAATGAAGACATGGATTCCTCCCTATATTTTGATACATTTGCGTTTGTCCTTTATTCAGACCCCCCTCTAACAGCTCAAGGTAGATGATGTACAGGACTGTCTCAGAAAATTAGAATATTGTGATAAAGTTCTTTATTTTCTGTAATGCAATTAAAAAAACAAAAATGTCATACATTCTGGATTCATTACAAATCAACTGAAATATTGCAAGCCTTTTATTATTTTAATATTGCTGATTATGGCATACAGCTTAAGAAAACTCAANCATGAACCAACCTTAGGAAAACGTGATAATGACGTAGTTAAAGCCGCACCGCTTGAAATGCGCAACGTACCTCCGTTAGCGGGACCACCGTAACGACCTACCACAATACCTACCGGGTCTACGGAAAGTACACGGAAATCAGTAATCGTAAACAAAACCGCAAAGACGTTGTCCACAGAAAGTCTGAATTGTCGCGTCGACAGACCCGAAAAAGCGTGTTTTGATGATAACGTACAGCGTATACCACACTAAGCAAGATACCAAGTACACACCACGAGTCACAAGACCCTAGCGGGCCCATAGGCCGGAGGTTAACGCGTCTATGGCTAGGTATAGGTTCCCCTCGCAATGGACGGCCGAAGCCGTACCCAGGGTCCGTCATATAGTCTGAGCGCGAGTGTCACCGCCAATTGACCACCGAACAGCGGTTGACTACCCTCGTTTGTTGGACTCCCGGCGGCTTCTGACCAACACCACTAGACACCGCGGCCTCCGGTTCAGTAACACCTACAGTAAAAATGTGTGTAAGAACTCCGCGGCAGGATACCAAAACAAAGTGACGACAAAATATACGAAATACGGAATACAAATTTAATCACGGTATTTTTTATTTATTTTAGTAATTTACTGCTTACTTTGGTCTATGTATCGACCTTTACTATTCAAACTTCGAGTCTGGGGGTGCGAAATAACTGCAGGAGAAAAGAGAAAGGGGATCTCCGGAAAGAGTCGTTGCATGTCCATAAGTCAGTACATTCCGGGGTGTGGACGATCGTAGTGATTTAAATTTTAAGGAGAGCGCCGAATGCTCGGTCCGAAGCTCGTGCAAGTTGACTCGGTAAAAGAGAGAAGGATCTTTACCCACTAACTAATCTCGGTTTGTCGATATCTAGAACCGCTTTTGGGTGTTGTGTCGTCGGAAAGCTGCTCTACCTGTGGAGGGGTGTGTTGTTAGCTCCGCACTTCCTTACCTGACCCCGACGCATTGTGTTTGATACGTACGACCATAAAGGTTTAGCGGGTTAGGAAACGAATTTAAGAACCAAGTTTGGAGATGATCGTGTAAAGAGTGAGTCCAGACCGTCGGAACCCTGAAGGTTTACCTTGGTCATTGTATATTTGAACGAAAGCCCATGACTTTTTACTACTGGGCTCGGTGAAATGCGCTTGGTGACACCGTTGACGTCACGAAGAAAAGGAATCGACCGCTATGCAGTCTTAGACGTGATTGAGAATAGCGGCATCGAACCCCCCGAAATGAAAGATCGAGGACAACTCTATGATGTCTTCAACAAGAAAAAAACCTCGGTACCCCTTATTCAATGCCTATAACATCGTGCTTACAAATAGTTCGAGTCCTGTGTATGCAAAATGGGTCTACTTGTCACTTTGAAGAATGCGTACACCCAATTTATGCCCACCCCCTAGAGAGTCGAATGTTCTATGCCATGACGAGAAACTAACTGAGGCGGCGTTGCCTAAGATCGGCACTGAACTGGTCCCCGGGGTTTGTAAACATTTTGGTAATTTCTTTTTTTACAAATTCATTGAAAAGTAATTAATAGTTATTAAATTGGTATTTTATCTTTGGCAAGTATAACTATTACATGAGTGAATTTTGGAATGCTTAAAGTTAAATTGGAATAAAAAGAAGGTTTTTCCGATTAATAGGGTTTCGGAGTTTGTGGGGGAGATAAAATGTAACATTACCAACCAGGACGGGAGGTTTGGCGCACGCGGTGGCCGGGAAATTCCATCCTTTTCCTTTCTACTCTCCCGACGTACACTCCCTTCCTATTATACCCTATTCGACACCACTAACGAACGAAGAAGGGGGGTGACTTAACACAACGAGAATAGTATTTCCGGGAGTTCTGTTTCAGTCCGGGAAGAATTCTTCGCAGTAGATACTATACCCTTAACCTACGGTCCGCCTTTCAATATGGTACTGGGGTGTTAAATGCTCTTCTTCTGATGTGTGATACGGTTGTCCTCGAAAATACATACCAGTTCGCTACACGCTACCAAATAAGTTGAACGTGTTCTTTTCGACTTCCGTCGAACGAGAAACTCTTCACAAACACCTAAAAAACGACAGAATGGGAGGACTACTCTCACACAGTTTACTGCCAAGGAGAAACGCCCTGATGCGTCAAGTCATAGTCGACTCAGAAGCCTGGCACCCCACCCCTTTTGAATCATACATAATAATATTTCCGAATTTCGCATTCCGAAGCGTTAAACTTTTAATTATGTCAAACATAAATTGACTTAGAAGTCTCAGAACAAACCTCCACAAAAGCTATTCCGAGCCTGGTATATCCGTTCCTTGAGCCGAAACGTCCACGAACAGCCTCAATACTTCCATAATCCTTGTCTAAGTTCACTAAGCTAAAAACTTGTGTCAAACTCTTGGCCCGAGCTTCTAATGTGGAAAAACAATATAAGGTACCCGCTTTTACGAAGAGATATGAATTTTCAGAGCATCTAGTCAATAAAAACAGTATTAGTAAACTATATGAGATTCTTTTTATTTTATGAGTGAGAATACTCTATCTTTCTCTTATAATATCTTCAAACACAAAAGGTAAATCTCACCTATACGGTCCGGCACGCGTAAATACCAGATCGTTTATTTATTTAATTTTTATTGTTATTTCGACCCTGAATCTGTTTCAGGAGAAGCGCCGTCAAGCGCCAAGCAAATTTTTATTTGACTAACCGGATGTAGACGGTTAGGTCACATGTGACGTCGAGAGCCCTAAGATGGGAAAAAGCAAAAAAAAGATTAAAACGGTTTGGAATAGAGAACGTGAGATGTACGTAACGCTCATGTGATTTATCCATCGCTCCGCCCAAAATAGTGTTATAAGATTAAAAGACTCTGTTCAGACATTATAGAGAACTCGACGAATCCCCCTCCACCTCCGCTCGAGATATTCTTCACCCGTCTTAGAAAGGCCAACACATAGAAAAGGGTTTAAGGATCGCGTGAGCTCCGATGCGCAACACCATTTTTAATACTTATTTGGATCCCTGTTTGGCGTGGTACATAGTTGAAAAAATACCCCACTCACTTATTTAGGTGAAACGAGGTGTCTAAGTAACAAACCTTTTATTTATTCGTAGACACCTTCCCACAAAAAATAAGATTACATGATAAAATCGACCGTTTTTCGAAGGAGGAAACATCAGACACAAGCGGATAATAAGAGTTGACGGACCCATCAGACGGTCATTATATCAAACTATTTCCCATTTGCTCGCGAATCTTTACAAAGGTCAATTACTGTGACCACTAAATCTAACGATCAGAGGCAGAGTAAGGGGGGACCACGGTCTGGGGTTGTCTTAGGTTACATGGTTTAGGTAAACGACAGTGAGTAACAGATGCTGTGGTTGAAGCCAGAGGGTTATCAATCTTGTACGATATAGACAAGTCTACCAGAAACTGACGGATTGACGTTGACCAGATAACTTTCGGGATAATGAACCGCTACTCATATTAGTAACCTGAAGCTTCATTCCGTACTCGAGATACAACACAATTCATTCGCCATATTGATTGAGTAGCGTGCGAGAGAGTTCTTCACACCTGTAAAGTATTTTTAGCCGGTATAAAAAGCAAATGATAACTGTCTGAGCGTTCTGGATCTGAACACACGGTGAATTTTTTTGGTACTACAGAAACAATAGAGTCCCAAGATCGACCCTACTCATATCAACCGGAGCACCATTTTTAAAAAAGATAGGTGCGGACAGAACACTATCTTTATGTGAACACCAGACCCGTTCAAGTGTAATGATGAAAACTCTACAAGTGATGCAATGAAAACCGAAGGATGCGTGCGCGTGGTTGTTCTACGATTAAGCCTAAGCTCAGTGAATCTGAGGCTATAAATATAGTATTCGAAGTCGGTAAAGTATAACTTCAACAACAGTGAGCGTTGGATATACGAGGACGTTCGAGTGCGCGGACGACCTTACTAGAGAAGAATCTGATGGGTCGGGAGTCAAAAATCTGACTCAGTCGACACAGATTACAGAGAAGTGGGGTTACAGCCGCGGAAACTATTTGAGAGTCCTTTATTTCTAGTGACGTCCGAGAGACGTAAAGGAGAGACATGTCCCCGGGGTGCCCGAGAGCGTAAAGAATGGACATTTTCAAATGTTTGATTGTGTTTTGCTGTTATAAATCTTTTTTTTTTACTTGGTCTGAGGAACTATTCTAATTTTTTGAGATAGGATTTTTGAGTTTTCTTAAGCTGTATGCCATAATCAGCAATATTAAAATAATAAAAGGCTTGCAATATTTCAGTTGATTTGTAATGAATCCAGAATGTATGACATTTTTGTTTTTTTAATTGCATTACAGAAAATAAAGAACTTTATCACAATATTCGAATTTTCTGAGACAGTCCTGTACATGTTGGCTTCGAGTAAAGGAGGTGTGCTAATTATCTTTCCTTTTTTGTTTTTAGAAATGCGGCCTCAGTGGTTTGATCGTGACCAGATTCCCTTCAGTGAAATGTGGGCTGATGACGTCCTGTGGTTCCCACTGATGTTCCAGAAGAAGAAATTTGTCGGATACTTTAAGTTTCAGGGTCATGATGTGATCCTCAGCCAGAAACTGGAGGAAGTGGAGGAACTGTGAGACATCCTGTGTTCCTGAGGACATTTATGACTGTGACAACAAGAATTGGGCTTCCAAATGTCTTCTTTAAACAGCAAGACTCTGAGGACTAAACCTCGCACATGGAGAGTTTTACATGTAAAATGTTATTGATTTATTTTTTCAATGATAAATAAAAAAACAATCAAAGCAGAAGTATATCGACAGAAATATTCATTCGGTTATTTTATTTTCAGTATAAGTGATTCAACACAATTTAGCAAGGCTTTGTTTCATAAAGTATTTACAATATCTACAGGTATAATTCAATTGGATTTCATATTCTGTGCAAGTTAGTAAACCTGATTCCTGATACTTCTTTCCTGACAAAACAAATGTGTTTCATACTGTTTTATAGTTAATCATAAAATAAAAGTTTCTGTGAGGTAACGTGAGCCCATATAAGTGTCCCTTCGATTTTCCCCATTAGAATAATACATAATGTTCTGGTAAACCATATGTGTACAGATATTAATGTGCATTACGGGTTTCATGACAAATATCTGAAAAGTAGAGAGCCTAATATGACTTTTTGCCGTTATACACAGTAACACACTTTTAAGTTAGGATTTCTAATAGAATTGTGAAAAAATATCCTCCATATCCAAGTAGTATGGTCAAAAAAATTCCAGTGGCAATTATTTAATGTTAAAATACGAATTGTTACAGTTTCTATTGCACCGCAACTTGAATTTATATCATTTCTCTTTGGTAGTAAATCAATAGCTTATTGACATTAGGCCACTAGTGTTTAAACTTCTATTTTTTTAATCAATAAACTTTAAGTCTCTGCCCCTTATAGTATTATACATTTTGAGTGTTGGTTGTTCAAAATAGCTTATGAAATTAAACAGGGAGAGATAGAAAATATGTTGCTCCACATAAAAGTAAACACTTATAAAGTAAGAGAAACAGCACACTTGTCCATAACAAATATAAAGTAGGCTGCTCCACGTCCTTGATAACTCAAATCTGTATCAGAACTACATTGGTCTGAGGTTTTTTAGTATGTAAAGCCTTCATGACTGGAGATCTACAATAATCCCATTCTTTAATAAAGTCAAACTTTTATGTCCCTCTCATGTTCTCTTCTTTAGTGTATAGAACTTCTTCAAATGTTAAGGTATAAACTGGTGCTTAAGGAAACGAGTTAAGCATGAATATAATGTCATCCCTCACGTCCTAAATGCTGACTGGTCCCTTATAAAATCCCTTTTAGAGGATTTTCCTTCCTACATTATTTCCTCATCAAGCAAAGCATAAAATGACAGATGTATGAGCCCACTGTATTTTCCGGTTACATGGTGGATGATCAAATCCCAAAATAAGCTGAGAAGTTGAGAACTCATTTACATAATGAAATACTCGTATTAAATGGAATGTATATTGAGTTATAAGAGACTTTCTTGAGCACACAGAGCGAGTTATTTTCCAGTTTGGGATCCTCTTCAGCGGCAGAGTTTCTCTCGTGCGTTCAGGTTTCAGATGGGGGGCTTCGATCCGTTATTACCCCCAAAGAGACAGCCGAGCTTTGGCTGGAGTTCATTCCACACCGCTCCCATCTGGAAAGAAAGCAAAAAGTAACTTCTCTTCACTCTTCACAGTTCGAGGAAGCTAATCTTCCTAATAAAAATAAACAATCAAATGTTGCTATGGGGTTTGGAGGAAATCATTTTAATATATCTAAGTAAAAATATCTTTAACCTTCTCAAAGGAATTTGAGGCGTCAAATAGACATCCAAATAAATCCAAACTGTGTGCTTTATTTGAGTTTAAAGTCAGGCAAAGGAATATGTGAGATTAACTTCCTGTGAAACTCAAGCCAACTAAAATACTACATGTAGAGAGTATCCTTCCACTGATACCATCCATCAACATTAGTTATTTCATTGGATTTTGAAAGCCAATTTAAAACTGATATAACCCTGCCGAAGCGTCTGTAAAAAAAATGAATACCAGACAAGCAGCCTCACCTCTCTGTGTCCTTGGACCTGGGAGTTAACGAAAGCCCCCAGAATGTGAGAAGTGATGGGAAGGTAGATGAAGATAAGCTGCGTCTCTTGATGAAGGCAGAACAGGGAGAAGTAGTTACGCAGCTCCATGGTCTGGATGGCGTTTTCTTGCTATTAACAGAATAATAAAAAGAGTAATTGGGAAGTCACCACTTATCAAATTATGATAATAATCAGTAAGAAAAGAGGAGAGAATAGAGTTCTCTGTGGGGACGTTTCACTCCATTGACATCAGAGATGAGAGGAGGCCATAAATCATCCCATTACATTTAAATTGGCTCTTTATTTGATTTACAATTGACCTATTGCCTCACCCTGTTCATCACCAACTCAGTCACTGTAACTGACACCAACACTGGTGTCCGTCTGATGAAGGAGTCTCAAAGAAGTTAAAGCATAATGCAAAGGAGTGAAATGGTCACAGTCACAGGACTTATCAGACATGTAGAATTACAAGCAAGCTGGCTTGCATTCATCTTAGCATATTATTTTACTGTTACTAATATCTGTTTTTAGCCATGCTAGTTTTAGTTGGACTAACCTCAAAAGTAAAACATGAATAGCCTACCTGAAAACCCATGACATTCCCATTAGCCTCAGTGGTCTAGTTTTAATTAGCAAATGTTAGCATGCTAAAATGCTAAACTAAGATCGTGAACATTGTAAACATTAAAGACATCAGCATGTTAGCGTTTTCAGTGTGAGCATGTTGGCATTACCACTCAGCTAACCTGTGCATAAGTACGGTCTCATGGAGATGCTAGCATGGCTTCTCTCAAGATGTGTAGAGGTCAGAGGACCCACCTTTTTGGAATAACGTAGCACAGCCAATCTTAGTGGATGTAAAGGGAGTTTTCTCAAACGGTTGGAAACCAGGCCCAATTCTATGCGATAATTTGCACATTTCCTAAACTCGGTAGTTAGATAGTAACTGCTTAGGCCTAAATCAATTTATAATAATAATAATAATAATAATAATACATAAAACACTTTTCCCAGTCCTCAAAGACGCTTAAACTTTAGTTTAAGTTTATGGCAGCTTTTATTAGATACATACATCTACTGAACCTCCAATAGAAAAATATTTTGTTTAAGATTTTGGGTAATAAACTGTACATAAAAGTCCTTCTATTTAATCTCCCTTATCAGGGTCCCACAGATCTCAAAAAAGTCTTAAAAAGAATAAAATTAATTGAACTAAGGTGGTATTCAAATGTCTTAAATCAATCTTTCAAATACTTTCACATGGAAATTAGGACTTTAATTGCAATAAGGTTGCATTGTAAAATGTCAAAATGATTGATAACATCTATTATTTTTTATGATAATTTACCAAAAATGTTCTGTACTATACTAACATTTTATTTCAAGCGGCCTTAAAAAAAAAAAGTGTACTTTTGAATACCCATGGTTGTTTATTTATTATGCACGTATGGGAGTATCCAGTGGAACGGAAGATAAGGACATTTGGCCACAATGCATTTGGGAGGAGTGTATAAGTTATAGATCAGGCTAATGTAGCATTTTATGTATCAAGTACTGAAGTAAAACCGTACGCTATCAATCAGGAGGCATCCTGTTAGTCCCAAAGTGTGAACACAGAGAAACATAAAGAGATTGATCACCTGAACGATCCGTGACTCCAGCTGCTCCACAGACGCCTGCTCTTTGGGCTGCACCGAGGCGCTCATCATCTGCCTCTTCATCATACCGTACTTGTGCAGAGCTCTCTGGTGCTCGTGGAGCACGCCTTTCTCATGTCGCTCACAGAGATCCTAAAGGGGGAAAACAAATTTACATAAAACTCTTCTTATTTGCCTCAAAATATCAGGAAAATATAATATATAACAGCGATACACAACACCCAAGGAAGATAGGGGATTTGTTGTAAAAAATAGACACTGTTAAATTAGCATACATATTACAGTTAATGGATTTAATCGAGGCTTTAGAAAATGCCACTTTATCTACCCACCTGTCCCCTTGTTTGATCTTTGCAAACCACCCACTACAAGAACTATGTTTTCAAGTGACTGGTTGGGTCTTGGTGCATCGTTATTAAAATGAATGATTACATAATATCCTGAATTTAGTTTGGCACTGGAACATAGATTTACGAATAATACAGCAGAAGATTGTTTTTATAGCCCTGGTGGATACAAACCATTTTCTAGTTGTTGTTTTTTAAAGTAAGCATCATTGGATGTGAAAACTGCAAACATAAAAGCAAAAATCACCTGTCCCTGGAGGTGGACTCAATTTAAATGAGCAGAGCAGAAACATAAACCTGACTCACTCTGTACGATTGCAGCAAATCCAAGAAAATATTGAGTTTTTCCACAACATCATCCTCTTCCCGTCTGCCCTGAGGACAGAAGCAAAACAACATTGTTTACCCAGTGCCAGTTTTGGACATGTAGAGCAGAGCAGTTGCTCCAGATGAAGGACTGAGGGCTGTACCTGCTGAGCAGCTTTGTCAGATAGCACAGCGAACTCCACCGACAGACTCTTCAGAGACTGACGCAGAGTCCCCCAGGTGCTTTGTGAAGAGGCCAAGGAGGGAAGAGACGAGCCATCGGAGCCCAGCGTACTGTCAAAAAATACAAATTATTACCGGGCAAGGATGTAGCATTGTGGTGTCTTAGCTGCCAAACTCATTTCAAACTAACAACCATGAAGTGGCACAGCAACACGGAGGATTCGGGTTCTTATTAACATTTGTTTTCACAATCCAAAACCTCTGGACAGACTTTTACCCATTTTAATGAAATACCTGAGCTCTCTGCCAAACATGAGAAGATCAGTTGCATTCTCCTTAGAGCGCTCGGCCATTTTCTCAGCTCTGTCCCGCAGCTTCTGGAAGCTGTTGTGAATATTCCTAATCAGTTCTCGGCTTGTTGAGAACTGGGCCTGAATATCAGCGGGGAGATATTCCTACAAAAACAGATGCAACAAACTTAAATGAAAATGTATGATGTATTGAGAAACGTATGTCAGGATGTCTGCGTGGTACATGTGACAAACCTTGGCCAAGGTTGCAATTCTGTTGGTCATGAACTCATCACCAGTTTTTTTGTAAGCGTCACGCAGCTTACTCTGAACATCCTGTGTGGGAAGACGGGTGTGGAGTGTGTGAGTGGAAAAGGTCACATGGAACAGGATGCATTTTACACAGTCATCTTCAAGATAAGGCTTATTGTGCAACAGACAGTGTCACAGCCGAGGCAGCTGGTTTCAGAAATGTTACATACAGAGCCACTGAAGGTGAGGAAGGTCTTGACAAGCTCGTCCTCTGAGAAGAAGGGATGCCGAGCCACCAGGTTAATGAATCTTCCAAGAGCACGTCTCCTGCATTCAATGAACTCCCGCTCAGAGACGGAGGT